AATATCTGGAAGGTTATTTTAAATCAGCAAAGATTCAGAAGTTCAATATTTTTACATTTAACAGAAATTGAATCAAAATTGAATTTTATAAACATTAACAAAATAAAGGTAACTTACACAGACCAAAAGAATGTTCCAGCTTTCACCCCTTGCTTGGTGGCTGTAATCCATAGCTAATGAGGAAAATATAAGAGGCTTATAATATGTTCTGAGTTTTTGGTCAAAGAAGAAAAAGTTTTTTAAAAAAATACATTAGATCAGATATATTAGACTCTACTCATGCCCCAACATAAATTTCACATTATTTGCAACCCTTTATTTTCACATCTGGAAGTCAGAATCAGCATTTCCATAAATGTTATTCAATACATTCTCTGCAAAAGCTCTCAAAAGCTCTGCTATGATTCTAATGGCATTTTTAAAAAAACTCTTATTTCATCTCACGACTCTCTCTTCTTCTCACCTGTCTTTTCTGACAATTGTTTTGACTATTTCATTTATATGGCAGAATTCTGCTCATCAAAGGATCCAGGAGTAGACCATATGTTTCCTTTACTATTGAAAGCCTTATAGAGGAGAGCCCCAATTTGGCACCCAGATGTCAGAATCTTGGAACCTAGCTTGACTTGTTTTATTTTAAACTAGATGAATGGGGGTGGGTGGTAGAGGGGGCTAATTTTTAATCAGGATTTTCCCCATATCTTTTACCTAGCCTTTTAGTAAATGTTATTTTAGGGAAAAGTTCCTGGGATAAGTTAGGTGAATCAAGTATTTCATTAAGGCTTTAAAATATTCTTTACAACACATGCTATTGGGAAGCAGAAGATTATAGGAGTTCAGAACCTGGGCTCTGCAACCAGACAGCCTAGATTCCAAGCCTTGTTTCTGTCATTTAGCAGCCATGTGGCTCTTCAGTGAGTTACTTAACCTTTCAGTGCTTCAGTTTCCTTGACAATGTAGATAGTATTATCTAGCACATAGGATTGTTCTAAGCTTTAATGAGTTAATACATTTAGAAATCTTTAAACCAGCGTCTTAACATTTAATAAACACACAATTTTAGTCTTGGCTATTATGCAATAACGGAAACAAATATAATCTAGTTATTCTAGGAACATTAAAAACAGCTTAAGTTGGCAAGTGTCCCATCAAACAGAAGTCTGTGAGAAGGAAGACAAGAGAATGGAGGCAAACAAGAAGGAGAACTGTGATTTGTCTAAGACCATAGCAAAAATGATCTAGGAATTGCCCCCAGCCCCTTTTCTGGTTTCATTGCATCTAGACTTTGAGAATGTCCTTTGAGAGTGAACGTTTTTAGTTTTTGAGGAAATAGGTGATTGGGAGGTGTAGAGCATCCAGGAGCTTTGCCATGGGTTCCCCAGGGTCTGGGACATCTGCCCTGGGAACGCTCTAAAAGGATTCAGGCCCCTTGGGGCATCTAGAAATCCCCAGGCCCCCAAATCACAGCTACTGCAGCTGGCAAGTGAGGGACAGGGCAGGTGAGCATACAACGCTCTATCAGATCCACGGAGTTCTGAGCTGCAAGTGAATTTCATCAGCATGGCAGGTGGGGCCCTCATCCCGTTCACATTGCTCTGGGGAATTAGAGCTGGTGGCACGATCTCTGGTTCCCTGAGATAGTTCAGAGAGATTAGGATCTCAGATTGCTCTGAGCACCCATCGCTCTCAATTGGGATTGCTCTCAACCCCATGGTGCAGAGCGCCTTCTGCTTTATGGACAAACTCTGGTGTATGCCCCAGTATCTGCAGCCCAACCAGGTGCAAAATGTGTCCTGTGTTTTTATTCTTTCTTGTTCAGTGCTTCCACCAGCAAGAAGATGAGCTCAAACTAAGTGTTGGACACTCTGTGGGTGCCTCAAAACCATGCCAGTTCCCAGAGAGGCCAGTTTCGTATAATCTATTTTCACACTTATTTTAATTTCACAAACATGAGCTTAGCACATTCATATCCAAACAACTTCCTAGAAAATCTAGTGCCTTGCATTCCCAAAGGAATGGTACCAGGCTATATTTGGCATATATAAAATAAAAGATCAACCTGGGATTTTCTAAAGGAAAAAATTTTTTAAATACATATTTGTCAAATGGTGACCCTGCACTTTCAAAAATTATATTGTAGAATACATGTTGTTGTTGGCATCATTTGGGCAACTGGAAGCCCTAAGAGTAACTTAGCCCAGTAACCCACAGGAAAAAAGATCACCAGAAGGGGCCTTTGCAGTGTTAAAAGGAAGGAGCTTGCAGAGTGAAGATTACAAAGTGTGTTAAAATTATTCTGATGGGAAAATTAAGATCATTTATTCTTTATACTTTTCTGTACTTGTCAACATTTCTGCAGTGACAAATAACATATTTGTAATCGGGAAAAAAAACTAACCAGGTTTAAAAAGCAATGTGAACTATGAAGACAATTTACAGGTTAAAAAAAAAAGCAGCAGAAAAATTCTTCCTGTTTCTTGATAGAAGTCATGTTGACCATATTTTCTAAAAGAAAATTGGGAGCATCAGCAGAAAAGTACAAAAAGTGAACAAGTAGAGAATATTTGAAATAAAAAGCACATTGAAAATCTGAAACAAAAGAATCTTAGAACTAAAATTAAGCAGATCTGTCAAGGTTCATCAAACAGTGCAAGATTGAAACATAAAAAAGGTTCTTAAGTCATATCATGAGCTGTCATAATAGTTCTTTCGCAGGCCATATGTGTATATTATATTTCAGGACCCAGAAGTAAAATCTAGTAATTACCAACAACAACAACGACAAGGGCACTAAAATGTTGGTCCAGAAGAATAAAAATGAAAAGAAGACTCTAACAAACTAGGCACAGTGGCTCGCACCTGTAATCCAAGCACTTTGGGAGGCTGAGGAGAGAGGATCACTTGAGGCCAGGAGTTCAAGACCAGCCTGGACAGCATAGCAAGATCCCATCTTTACAAAAAATGAAAAATAAAATAAAAAGAAAGAAAATAAACCTCTAGTGCTATAAAAGAGAGAGAGAGAAGCTTCCTGGTTCCTTGTTAACTCAAAGAAATGAGAGTTATGATTTCTCTGAATTTTAATGCAACGTAAATTTCCTCAGAGGTTGGTTAAAAAGAAAAAAACAGCTAAAAAAAAAAAATAAGCTAAGAAGACACTGGGTTTGGGCTTCCTGCCTTTAATCCCAATACTTATTCACTGCTTCACTTTACCTGGAGCTCCAGCTTTCAACATTAGGGTCCTAGATGCTATACTGTGAAAAGGGGACAAATGGGAATAAGATTGTATCTCCTTAATATGCTATTAGGAATCAAAAAAGTTTCCCCACTGGAACCAGGAGGGGTTAAATATGAAATTCAGCATATTCTTGAAGTAAATATGCAGCTATGGGAGAAGAGGCGTGAAAAAGAAAATAATCCAAAAACATTTTTAAAAAACATAAACTGCTATTGTACTCTTCTAGGACTTCTTTAAAGAAAAATTATTCCTTTGCATTCAAAAGCACAGAGGCTACATAGAATTCTGGGAGATCAGACAGTTGGGTGGGGCTCTTGCGTTAGCAGAGGTAGATCAATTGCTGAAAATCGGAACAAACTAAGGATGTGAGTGTTGGGAGAGGCAGCAAAATAGACTGGGGACCGACATGGCTGTGTTCCACATGGTTCGGGCCCGAAGGAGGTGCGTGGTGAAGCTGTTGACATGTGGCCATGGAGCTGTCGAGACCAAGAAATGGAGTTCTGTCCTTAAGGATGGCCCACTCTCCGGGAAGCATAGGCAAAGGCCTCGGAAGGAAGCACAGACCACTCCAATCCAAAACACAGTAGCGGAGCACCTAAATGTGCCAGGCTCTGGAGCAGGTCTTCTGAATGGAGAGATAAATAAACCAAGCCCCTACCCCCTTGGGACACACAGTCTAAAGCAGACATTAGAATAACCAATTTCAAAAGGAGGTGGTCAAATTTATGATAGAAAAAAATATGAAGGCCCAAAGGAGGGTCACGTAGCGTAGGCGGGGCTGGAAGAGCTCAGGGAAGGCCTCCTGGGGACAGACACTTCATCTGAAATTTGGAAGACAAATAAGAGGCTAGTAGGTGAGTAGAGCCCATCCTAAGTAAGTAAATGAAGATACAGTACAAAGAGAAAAACTATAGCTCTACAACACTATATGGAAAAGAAACAACAGAATAAAGAATATGAAAAAGGAAGTAAAGCCTCCCCCTAGCAGGATAATAACATAGACAAAAAGAGGGCTAAGCAATGACTTCTATTTTCCATTAAGCCAATGCCTTTGTCCTGGAAAGTCATCCCTATTCCAATGTTATTCTTCTCTTTGCTGTCTCTTTCTTGAACACACCATCTTTCTATTTTTACACTATAGTCATTCACTAGGATGGTCTCTATACCAACTCATTGCACCACCAATACTGGCAGAAAGCAATTTTAGGGCGAGCAACTTGAGAAGTGTTAGGAATACATCTGCTCCTCTTAGAAATGCCTTATTCCAGAAACTGATTTCAGCAGACTTGGATCATGATGGGGCATTGGACTTGTTTCTCAAATCTTCACATCTAGTCAGCCCCTCAGAGTCCCATTCATTCTCCACATTGCTTAGAGTCCAGGTTTAAAACAAACAGGCAACAATCCCACGGAACTGTCTTTGTAGTAGAAATTGCAGGACCGTCCAGAGAGGATTTTCAAAGAAACAAACACACTTAAGGAACTCCATTAACATATGTATGAGAAACGTAGGGTCCTACAGCGAATGACAGCTTCTAATAGTGCATTCTAAGGATTAACAAATTAAAAACAGACTAGACTTTGCTAAAGTGGCTATACCAGGGTTTTTAAAAAAGGTTAAATTATAGGAATTGTTTTTGGAAGCCTAGCAGTGCGATTCAAATTTTCAGATGGACACTGTACAAAGGCCTCATCCCATCTACTAGATTTAAAGCTTGGATAAGAAGTGGTTCTTATTCACCATTTAATCTGGCCCCCATATTATTTACCTAAATGACTTTCATAGTTTAATCCCTCAGCAAAAATAAGTTGAGTTTAATTTAATTACCAGTCCAAGATTTTTACAAATATTTTCTCTTAAAATTTATAAAAATTTATAAGATCTTTATGAATATTTTTTCACTGGTGATTATAAAAATATACAAGCCTCTGAGAGCATTATATAAATGCTTGAGGAATATTCATTAATTTTTTCTTATAGTACTTCTCATTTCTTATATTGTTATACTATGACTAAAGTTTCTTTTTTATTAATTTTTGATTTATAATTGACACATAAAAATTGCACATATTTATGGGATAGAGTTTCAATGCATGTGTACATTATATAATGATCAAATCAGTGTAATTACCATATCCATCACTTTAAACATTTATTACTTCTTTGCGGTGACAACAGTCAAAATCTTCTCTTCTAGCTATGTTGAACTATATACTATATTGTCGTTTCCTACAGTCACCCTACTGTGTAATAGAACAACAGAACTATAGTTTCTGTCTATCTGCTCTTCCTGGATGCCAAATTTCAATGCAATGTGTTTCTAAATTGCAGCTACGATGCTCCTTGGAATGTTTATGGTGGCCATTCCTATCCAACATGATAGAAACACAAATCGGTCTCACCAAAAATCTTGTTCAACATGAAGAAGGTACTAAACCTGGTCAAATATGTCAACTTTGAGAGTTAGTGAGGAAATAGGCAGATTTGAAACAGAGACTTCACTTCCTGAGGCAGGTTAACAGCGTTCCCTCTGCTCTGTTTCTGCAGAAGTTAATGAATATGCGGACTCATCTTCTGAGTCATGCTAACCCAGAGGAAACCTAATGTCAACACTTGGTGTAAGGTGATCCAAGTTGATATAATTACTGTTTATCTCTGTATCCTTCGTAGTTTCTCAGGCACGTTTGCTTCCATGACAAAATTAATATAAAAGACCAACTAGAGACAACTTGACAGAACTCTAATTTCAATCATTTTATTTACTCATAAAATATTCCCCTATCATAAACTTTGTTTGTGAAATCTACCCTGTCAACAAATTTCACTATGATCACAACCTAGGTCATCATAGACTTCTGGGAGTCCCGCCTGAATAAAGACAGCAGAATCAGAACATCTATTATGAAGACACTTTTCTGCACTCATACAAGAAGTCTTCCAATGTTTATTTTTTAAATAAAGAAGCTCAGATTTATCCTTGCATACTGATATATCTATTATGCAGTACAAATATTTTGATCACCTTTCCTCAAAGAGCAATGCCTTAAAAAAAAATTCCTATTTATAGCTCCCTTTTGCCCATGGACTGCAGTAAACATTTGCAGGTACAGGATCATTGAGGCACGGTGGACACATGGTTGTGTGCAGACACTGCCCACCTCTCATGCCGTGGCAGACTGCGCACAGGTCTCCCAGCCCTCTTCCCTAACCAGCGCTCCAGGGAGCTGCTACCTCCAATCAGAGCTGGCATGAGATGGAACCATTTGCCGTCCTTCTTCTAGATGTTTCTGATTGACTGTGTGCACTGAGGTATGTTCCTGTAGGGATGCTGATCCTTCTGGCCAAAAGCTTGTACACTTCAGCTCAACTCTGCACATTCAACAACCATGGCTTTATGCTGCTTTGCTCATGTCCGAACAAAGCAAGTGGCCTAATCACACACAGTCACAGGAAAACATTAGGTAGAAAGCAGCCTACATCCCTTTTTATTTTCTGCCCCAGCCATGTGATCTGAAGTAAACAGGGTGATTTCTTTCAAAGTATTATTTTGATACTTCAGTATCAAGGTAGGATTCTAACTTATTATATTTAACTTCCATGATTTTTTAAAAAATAGATTAAATAAAAGAATTCATGAATTTACTGTGGGTTTCAGTGAGTTCTTTTTTTCCAGCAAGTTTCTCTGTTTCTGTTGATTATGGTGCAGGGCCAAAATATTGGGGAAGTCATAATCATTCACTTTTCTTTTTCATTGTACCCCCTAATCTGATAAATCAATAAGATCTGACTACTTTTTCTTCAAAATTGTTCTGAAATTCACCCCTTGGCATCATTTTCACCATTATCATTACCATTATCATTCTAGTGAAAACATTTATCATCTCATACTTTTGTAATCACAGCCTCACACACATGCACACATATATATACACACACATAAACACATACCCATATGTATATATACATGTATATTATTTATGCACACATGTATATACATGTACACATACATATATAAATATGTGATATATACACATATATACAGATACATATACACATATATTACATATACACATATATACATACATTATGCATATGTACACATACTTTTATTTTTTTGTGTGTATATATATAAAATACCAAAAGACAGAAACATTGCCAAGTATGAGGAGATTGTATGTATTTTTCCCACAGGTGGCAAATTTTGAGATGAAATGTCTCCCTGTACAGACACACACACACACACACACACACACACACAAAATAAATTCAAAACTTACCGGTTGACCTCCCCACCATCTATGATTAAATTTCTCTCGCCCTCGCAGATGGAAAGTAGCATCAAATACAGGATCATACATTGAATTGCCAACAATTCCATGTGATTCTGGATACAGTCCCTTCATGTAAAAGCAAATTTATTGTTAAAATAACAATATAATAATCCACATGTATTAGTCCTATTATAAATTTTCATATCACAGAAGGTTTTATATCAATATTTAACTTTCAAAATTATATAAGATATATATAACCTTTACTGTGTGTCTGTGTGAGCAAACATGAATAATATCTATGGAACTAATTATAAGCCATCTTAGAAACTTAACATGATTATAAGAAACTTAATATTTGGGGGTTTTTAGCTGTTTTAATTTAATCGGATGGCAATTTTTATTACAATAAATTAAACTTTAGTTTAAAATTTATGCACGTGCTTCCAAAGAAGCTTCTATTTCTAAATACACTTTCCCTTCTAAGTTCTATTCTTCCCCAAAACAACACTAAAAATCGCAATAATAATAAATAAATTATGTTTTAAAGAAGAAAGGAAGACAGAATTTGGAGTACCTGAAAATTAAGACATAACAACTCTGAAGTCAACATTTTTATTTGCAAATTCAGAAATAAACAATAGGTCCTTTGATATTTGAGAGAAGGTTAATATATGTGTTCAGACAGAACTGCACCTGAGAAAAGGTTTCAGTTTTAAAGTTGCAGTGAAGTTCGGTCACCCATGAAGTTGTAAAAGGCATTGGCTATGAACAAGTGATGTAGAATAGATGGAAAAAAGAAAGATTTTCTTTGAACACTAAAGAACATGTTTTAAAATGCCCCCTTTAAGTCATTTCAGGATGAAAGCAGTCCTTTAAATGTATACCATTTGAAAAAATACTTACAGTGGCCAAAGTGTATAAGTTAGGAAAGGTTTTTGTTGGGTACACAGGCCTCATATAGGGAGAATGTGTGCCACAAGATCCTGGAAATAGAATTTCAGATGTTAGAACAGGGTAACCAAAAGGAATCACTTCATGTGTAAAAATCCATTTTATAAATGATCAAAAACATGTTATCTTCACTTTTGTATTTCAAATAATAAAATACATTTAAAACAATGCACCCATAGATCTCAAAGCCCGTAGCACACTGGTTACTGTGAGATTCTGGATTACAGATGAGAACACAGAATATGGAAATTACTTACTCAGTTTTTCAATGTTAGGCATGACCTTGCTGCCTTTCTTCATGTATGATGCACGGAAGCCGTCCACAGAGAAGATGATTAATGGAGGGCGAACAAACCTTAAACAGTAACACATTAAACTTTAGAAAAATTATTGCCATAGAGTTTCCATTACACCTAGTCATTCTCAGTAACTGGGACCAATAATTTCCAAGAAGCAACTTCAAAGGAGGATATCTGCATAAGCCTGGGCTTCCAGCTATACAACTTTTGAAATGCCTGAAGTCCAGAGTTAAATGACCAAGGCCACAAAATGGCCAGGGAAGGGACTTGACTCCAGATTGGCCCTAAGGTACTTCCTCCACTGCTGCCTCTCACATTGCAGACAAGGTTATACAGATGTAAAAAATGGTTATATTTGCCTAGAATATATATTCTCCCATTTGCTACCTGGCAAACTCCTATTGAATCTTTAAAACCCAGCTCAAAGTTTCCTCTTCTATAATGTTAGTTGCTCACACTTCTGAATTCCTTTAAGATATTAATTCATACTTCTTTCATCATTCATATGTACATCATTTTACATTATATTAGAATGATCTGTTAACACATTTCTCTTCCTCACTAGTTTCAAAGCACAGTTTGTGTCTTACTCATCTTTCTATTTTGTGGACCCACAGTAGGGCTTCAATAAATATTTGTTAAGTATATTAATGAATAAATATGAAATTAAAATCAGTAGCATTCCTACCACTAGATCTAAGCACTTATTAAAAAACATTCCTGGCCGGGCACGGTGGCTCACGCCTGTAATCCTAGCTCTCTGGGAGGCCGAGGAGGGCGGATTGTTTGAGCTCAGGAGTTCGAGACCAGCCTGAGCAAGAGCGAGCCCCCGTCTCCACTAAAAATAGAAAGAAATTA